AAAATCCCAACAAGGACAATGGCAAGATTTCCAGCCTAGGAGAAACATTGAGCCATAAGGAGAGGCAGGTTGCTGTTGTTGCTGCTATTGCTTTAGTTGTTGTTATTACTACTACTACTACTACTACTACTATTACTACTACTACACTTCCATGTAATCCAGGCTTCTTCTATACTGCCATTTAAACCAGATTTATTTATTTTATCGTGTCAGTAGCAACCAGACATTTAAACCAGATGATCAAAGCAGACACTCCTCATTATCTGTTTTGAAATGGATTATATGAATCTACACTGCCATACAATCCAGATGATCAAAGCAGACAATCCACATTACCAGCTTTGAAGTGGATTATATGAGTCTACACTGCCATGTAATCCAGGCTCCTTCCACACTGCCATTTAAACCAGATGATCAAAGCAGACAATTCAAGTTACCTGCTTTGAACCAGATTATATGAGTCTCCACTGCCACAGAATCCAATCCAAAACAGATAATCTGGATTCTATGGCGATGTAGTCTCATATAATGAGTCCACTTCCGACCTGACAGAGCACTGTATCTCCTTGAGGGGCCACGCACGGCTCAAGGGCCAGGAACCCTGGGAGTTGTGGTTTCACAAGGTCTCCCGCCTTCTCTGCCCAAGAGAGCCGGGGCCTCCCCGCAAAGGGCAACTCCCGGGATGCTGTGGCGAGGGCTGTGCTCTGCCTCTGAGGCCTCGGCCCACCCCGAGGGCTTTCCCCGGCCAAGGCAGCCCTGGCGCCACTCACCGGGAGGCAGGAACCCGGCCAGCTCCTCCTCGGCGCCGCGCTGCTTGCGGGCCTTCCGCCCGGGCCCCCGCTTGACCTTCTTCGCCGGGTCCAGTTTGCGCCCCATGCTGCTCAGGCCTCGCTCCCCGAAAGCGCGCACGTGGGTTGCACGCCCGCCTCCTCCTCGGCCACGGCACACTTCCGCCTCAAGAGGAGGCTCTCATTGGCCACGGGGGCGCCTTCCGCTAGAGCTCTCCGCCTTGGGATTGGACAGCGGGTGATACGCTTCTGCCTCCGGAATAGGTTAAAGAGGGTGCGTTCCACTTTAAATCCTGGGGCTTGTGGTCTACGGAGGAGTCTAGCAAGAGAGGTCTAGAAATTCGCCTCTCTGAACTACAAGTCCCAGAATTCTGCAGGAGGCAGCCACAGGATTAAGGTGGCATGCAGTGCTTTGCCTACTCTTTAAAGCAAAGTCCTCCAGGTGTTTTGGACTTTGTTGTTGTAAGTTTTTCGGGCTGTATGACCATGTTCCAGAAGCATTCTCTCCTGACGTTTCGCCCTCATCTATGGCAGGCATCCTCAAAGATTGTGAGGTCTGCTGGAAACTAGGCAAGTGAGGTTTATATATCTGTGGAAAGTCCAGGGTGGGAGAAAGGACTCTTCTTTGCTTGAGGCAAGTGTGAATGTTGCAATTGGCCACCTTGATTAGCATTTGATGGCCTAGCAGATTCAAGGTGTGGCTTCTTACTGCCCGGGGGAATCCTTTGTTGAGAGGTGATTAGCTGTCCCAAGCCCCGGTGGCGAGGTGGGTTAAACCTCTGTGCCGGCAGGACTGAAGACCGACAGGTCGCAGGTTCGAATCCAGGGAGAGGCGGATGAGCTCCCTCTATCAGCTCCAGCTCCTCATACGGGGACATGAGAGAAGTCTCCCACAAGTATGATAAAACATCAAAAATCATCCGGGCATCCCCTGGGCAACGTCCTTGCAGACGGCCAATTCTCTCACACCAGAAGCGACTTGCAGTTTCTCAAGTCGCTCCTGACACGACAAAAAAAAAAAGTTGTCCCAAGAAACATGAAAGGCAGGGCAGACTCGTTCAACCAGAGAAGCCAGCCATAGCAGAGCACCTGATGAGCCAACCTGGACACAGCATATTATTTGAGAACACAGAAATTCTGGACCACTCTCACAACCACCATGTCAGACTACACAGAGAAGCCACTGAAATCCACAAGCATATGGACACATTCAATAGAAAGGAAGAGACCATAAAAATGAACAAAATCTGGCTACCGGTATTAAAAACTCTAAAATCGGGAGAGTAAACAACACTCAAAAACAGAGGAACTCCAGACAAGAAACAATCATGGCTGAAAAGACATGTCCCAAAGTATCCCAAACAGTTTAGAAATATTACAACCATGTTGCTACCTTACGAACTCAGTTGTAGAATATCTCAGTAGTAACATACACGTAGATATAAAAAAGCACTTGGCTAAATATATTTGCATGTTCATACTCTGTATGCTTTGTTTCTGTTTTTTTTTTACTCTGTCCTAACAGTAGACTACACTTTGCATTTTAAACAAGTAGAACAGAGCTTTACAATCTGTGTGTTGTACTGTGTCAACTGGAGTGCATGGGTGTGTTGCGCGAATGTTAACACAAAACCTCTGAGTTTTGTGTTACATTTTTATTTACAAAAATAAAAATATGATGAACCAACCTGGACACAGCATATTGTTTGAGAACACAGAAATGCTGGACCACACCAACAACCACCATGTCAGACTACACAGAGAAGCCATTGAAATCCACAAGCATGTGGACAATTTCAACAGAAAGGAGGAAACCATGAAAATGAACACAATCTGGCTACCAGTATTTTAAAAACTCTAAAATTACAACAGCAAAACAGAGGGGAAACAATCAGGCACATCCAATCACCTCTCAACAAAAGATTGCCCCAGGCACTGCCAGGGCCATCAAATGCTAATCAAGGTGGTCAGTTGAAACATTCACACCTAGCTCCAACAGACAAGAGTTCTTTGTCCTACCCTGGTCATTCCACAGATATATAAATCCATTTTCCTAGTTTCAATTGACCTCACTACCTCTAAGGATGCTTGCCATAGATGCAGGCGAAACGTCAGGAAAAAAATGCCTCTAGAACATGGCCATATAGCCCGGAAAAACCTACAACAACCAAAAATAAAAATAAACGATTTTCATGAAATATGTTGTGATGCATGTGTAAACAGTGTGTCACCAACATGAAATAAATGGTTGGAAAGCTCTGTAGGCTATTTCTGCCATTTCTGCTTGTCTCACGATTTTACTTGTCTTATAGTAGCTGTTTGAACCTCCAAGACATCAACAATCCTGCGCTTGTGGTCCTGAGGGACTCAGGCCTGTGCCTGATTTAAGCCCATCTACCCGCCTGCCCACTCCAACCCCAAATTATTGTTTAAGGAGAAAATGCCCTGGGATATGCAGATTCTAGTGGATAGTAGAACATTAGCTGTTATATAGAGCTTCCTAGCGAAGCCATTACTATACTATACTATACACCCAAACTATGTAATGATAGTACATAGTTTGGGTGTTGTTATTGTTGGAATTCAACCCCACACTGATCAAGTCTCAAGCCCTCAATGAGGAGAAATTGGTTAGCATTAGAATAGTCTGAGAGTTTTCCTTTCCCCCATGTCTCCTGTATGACAGTTGGGAATGTGTCTGTTTTCATCTCTCTTCTTTCTGCTCTCATTCTTTAAATTGGATACTTTTCTACTGCAAACCTTTTTGAATCTGACTTCTGCCTTTCTACACTTTAGTATGGAGAGTATGTGCTGTGTGCTTTGAGATCTCTCTCTGCTTGTGTGTCAGGAGAGATGTAATGATTGAGTTTTCTCTTCTGTTGAAATGTTAGAAGAGATGGATGTTGGAGTAGCTCAGACCCAGTTTTTTACCATGAAGAAATATAGGTAGTTCATTATTATCTATATAAATAAAAATGTAATGTTCGTTTGTGGGATTAACAGAACTCGAAAACCACTGGACAAATTGACACCAAATTTGGACACAAGACACCTAACAACCCAATGTATGTCCTTCACTCAAAAAATTGATTTTTTCATTTGGTAGTTGTAGCTGCTGGGATGTATAGTTCACCTACAATCAAAGAGCATTCTGAACCCCACCAAGGATGGAATGGAACCAAACTTGGCACATAGTTCTCCCATGACCAACAGAAAACACTGGAAGGGTTTGGTGGGCAGTGTCCTTTGGTTTTTGGAGTTGTAGTTCACCTACATCCAGAGAGCACTGTGGACTCAAACAATGATGGATCTGGACCAAACTCTACACAAATACTCAATATGCCCAAATGTAACACTGGTGGAGTTTGGGGAAAATAGAATCTTGACATTTAAGAGTTGTAGTTGCTGAGATTTGTAGTTCACCTACAATCACAGAGCATTCTGAACCCCACCAACGATAACATTGGGCCAAACCTCCCACACAGAACCCCCATAACCCACATGACCACCAGAGTGGGCCACAGCAAAGCGTGGCAGGGGACGGCTAGTTGTAAATAAACCTTTTGTGATTTTTTAAAAGATTGGCTCCTAAGCTCTGAATTCTCTACAGCCATATCACTTGGCTTTGCTTGCTAATGAGCAGATGCTCAACTTTTTGTATCCTGATTGTTTTTGGATGCTCTGCTTTATTTCACATAGTTTTCCCTAACAATTATGATCCTAAAGCAAGTCATCAGTACACAAATGGAATCTTTGAGATTTCATAGCGTCACACAATACCATTCTGGGAACAAAAGCATTGCATTAAGTAGCTAAGTACATGTACTTATACATCAGCTTTACCAGTTTGGAAGAGATTCTTGCAAACTTTTCCCACTTCTGACAACAGTAACTCTCAGGCTGATTCATGGCAAAAAAAACCACAGCTGAGACTAAAGTACAGAATCAGCAACTGGTGCTCCCTCCCATAGTCTGATAACCATCTGCTTGTATACAAAGAGTTTATGGAAAAAACAAAATATATTTAATTAGCCCTTTCAAGAATTAACCTCATAAATCCAAATCAGACTGGAGTTATCATTTGCGATCCTCACAAAACACGAGAGCTGATCATTTTAACCTAAAAGCAAAGCCTGGCTGCTGCTTGGGTGATTGCCAGGCTAAAAGGCACTTAACACTGTAAAATTCCCCCAAATAGTTTGACAGAGGCAAATAAAATACAAGGAAACCTTTATTTTCAATGTTATCAAGATTTTTTTGTCTTTTTTTCCAGCTGTTTCAGAGGACAAGTCCAGTCAGTTTTTTGTATTAAAAGGATCTTGATGGAGGTAGCTGTGTCTGTCCTGACTTTTGCTTGCACTTGTCCTGGTTAAATGAACTCAAAATAAAATTAAAATCAAGGAAGTGTGGGCCATGGTGGTGAACCCTGCAGCCAGGTCTGTGTAACAGATGTGGCGCTGCAGTCTCCAGTCACTATATACAGAGTCCATCCAACGTCTCCCGTTACCCAAGGGCAATCCAAGTGCAACTGGCAACGTATGGAAGATTGTACTTCTTCCTCTCTCCAGCCATCCCCCATGCAGAGACGACACCATCTGAACAGGAGTGCCAGGCAGGGGGGAAGTGGGGTCAAAATTCAAACAAGGAAGCGTATGTCACTTTAGCTGTATCACTGTGTTGGCAGCGCTGGACCAGTATCTCACTGCTGCTGTGCCACCTAGGATGGAGGAGATAAAAGGCTCACTGAGTACAATACAGGCCACGCAGATTCCCCCCCCCTCCGAATCCACCCACCCCAGCTGGGGCAGTTGCCATGGGCCCCCTCCCTCCAGTTCATGACAAGGGTTGGAGTAGAAAGGGGGAAAGGCAGACCTAGGTGCTTACCTGCTGGGGTGGTGGTGGTGGTGGTGGAGGCGGCTCGCTGCTACGGTTTGCCAAGCGGCTGAGGATGTTGCGCTCCGACATCTGGAGGCGCACAGCCACTGGAGGAATGCGGGCAATTGTGGCAGGTAGCCGCGTCACATCGGCCTTCATGTCGCTCAGCAACTCCTCTAGCTGCTTCAGCACTGGAAGAAAAGAGGAAATTCCAGATTTACCTGTGAATCTGTTCTCCTTTAGGGAAGGAGGGAAGCTAGTCTTGGGAAAGGAAGGGGCTTCCCATCCTGAGTTCCTGGATATTAGATCTGACAATGCTCCTAGGCCCAAAGCATCAGATATGGAGAGAACAAGGTATGCAGAAAGAAAGAGGGGCAGAGGCCTCCTGGAAAACGGTATCAGAAATATTTAAAATGAACTGGGTATATTGATTACCAAAGTGTGAGACAAGAACTGAAAGAGTTAGTAGGCCGAAGCCTGTTTAGAGTTAGTGGGCCAAAGCTAGAATCCTGAGGAGTGTGAGGTAAACCTCAGTGTGTGAGATGCTTCGGTGAAAGAAGCCCCTGATTAAAGGCCTTGTGAGTAAAGCTACTATGTGAAGCTCCTGTGTAATTTCAGTGTGAAAGGAGGCTCTATAAGAGCAAAGCTGTTTATCTACATAAGAATGAACCCCAGCAAGGAAGCAAAAAATGAAGTATAAAGGACTTTATTTGTGTTGTGGAAATTCTGTGATTGTAAATAGTGCAACTATATAATTTTACTACAAAAAAAAAGCCTCCTGTGGAAGATATAGAATATTCTGTGTTTTTTGTTCTTTTTATCACTTTAGGCTACTGGTGCTGGGTCATGCAGCTGCTATTAAGTTAGTCTGCTATACATTTATGAAGAGGGTCTTTTGTTAATAAGCCTACTCGCCCAACAAAGGATTTTTTTTCATGTCAGGAGCAACTTGAGAAACTACAAGTTGCTTCCGGTGTGAGAGAATTGTCTGTCTGCATGGACATTGCCCAGGGGACACCCGGATGTTTTTAACATCCTTGTGGGAGGCTTCTCTCGTGTCCCTGCATGGAGCTGGAGCTGATAGAGGGAACTCATCTGCGCTCTCCCCAGACATTGCCTTACATGAGAAGCTATGCAACGGAATGACACCATGCATGTTATGGGGGTGAACTGCCCTCCTTTCCCTGAAGAGAGCAGAAATTCACAGACAAGTCCAGAACTTCCTTTTCTCCTCTTTTAAGAGGAGTGCAGCTAGCACTAGAATGCTAAAATATTATAAAAGCAGCAAATTCGCTCATTCAATAGCGACCATGTTCCTTGGCACACAAAGACTTTGTTAGTCTGACAATATCCATTGGGTCTGAATCATGTTTTCCTTGTATTTACATATTTTTTTTTTGCATTTTGACCATGTTCCTTGGCACACTAAGACTAGCACTGGCTATTTATGGCTTCCTCAAAGTAGTTTTATAGGTCAAATAATGGGATGAACACCTGAGAGAAAAAAATGTGTATCTCCTCAAAATGGAATCTCAAGAATCATGCAGTTGCCAGTCTTATTTTTCAAACCCTAAAGAAAGGTCAGTTGTAAAATATTGCCTGGTGATAGGACATCAGTCAAAGAGCTGAGCACTGGAGCCTGGGGCAGCAGTAGAGGAGCACTATGAAGAGTGCTATAGTAAAAGCCCATTCCAACTGAGAGAGGCCTGAGGAAAGAATTCCCCATCAGTCCGAATGCCAGAGTATGATTGAATAGGGACTGCCTTACTCTGCCTCAGGCATTTTTTGGAACTGTACTGCTTTCTATTTATCACATATTTATTTATTTACAGTATTTATATTCTGCCCTTCTCACCCTGTAGGGGACTCAGGGTGGGTTACAATGTACATATACATGGCAAACATTCAATGCCATAGACACACAACATATATAGACAAGACACTCAGGGGCTATTTAACATTCCAGCTTCTGGCCACCAGGGGTGCTGTCGCTTCACCAGTCGTTTGTGACACGATGAAGTACTTTCCTCATTTTTTGCATACTTCCTGGAGATTTTTATAACCTCATAAATCAGTTAAATTAGCCTCCCCACATTTACCTAAATTTCCTACTTGACAGATGCAACTGTCTTTTGGGCTGCAAAGGTCAACAACAAGCTACACAATTTTGGTCAGGAGCTTACTTTGACCCGGGCTGGCTTTGAACTCATGACTTTTCAGTCAGTAGTGATCTTAATGCAGCTGACTCCCAGCCAGCCCAGGTGCTAAGTTCTATTGGTACTTGCCTGCCACAACTGAGCCTTAAGGGGCAAGAGCTACATTTTACAATTAAAGTCTGTCTTCCTGGACTAAAAGGAGGAGCTTCTCCCCAACACCAGATAGCTTCTTCTACTTGAGGGGGAAAAAAGAATGTCCATTTAGAGGATGAAAGGCAACATGGTGGGGAGAGATGGGATGGAGGTTGGGGGGAAGGGGCCAGTGGCAATATAATACAAGTCTGCCCTCATACAGTATGATCTGGCAACCGCTTACCTTTGTGAAGCACTGCGTTTGCTGGTTTGTTGCCAGCCATAGACTCCTTGGACAGATGCTGGTGGCTCTCAGCTAGGCACTCCACCTCTGCAAAACGGGTATTCAGGGCCATTGAAGGATGGGAGGGGTCTTCTGACATGTTCAGATATGCAGCTCTCCGTAGCTGCTCTTCAATCACCAGTGCCTGTTCCAGCAGCTGCACAAGGACACGGAAACATGTGTGTTCACCACTTGCCTGTGGTGCACCAAAGATCTTTTCCAACCAAAGAAGGCCCTTTCTCATTTCAGATCCTCTTATAGATCTGTGCATATAATTTGGGGTGTCCACATTTTAGTTCCTATTTCAACACACTTTATTAAGTACAAGAGACCTCAGAAAGTCTGTATTACATCAGATCTATCTAATTTAGAATTCTGCTAATCAGCAGGATACAAATATTGTTTGGAAAAGCTCACACCATTACAATTCTATCCCCAAGCAATCAGTACACACTCATACACTACCCCCAATGCTGGAATCAATGCATAAACACACCTATCACTGACACCATGCTCATCCAAGTCAGTCGGTCACTTTAGCTCTGTCCAGTTTGGAAGCACTGACTCTAGTGGAACCAAATCCTACTGCCTCCTTTTTTTACTGGTTTTAAATTTCTCACTTCAATAGATCACCTCAAGTTCCCAAACAACAATGAAAAACATCTCCTCAACCACTTTCCCCATGTCAAAGCATAATTTCACATGCTTCCACCACAGTAGTACTTGCCCCCTTTCTGAAGCTCAACAGCTTCAAAACATCGTACTCTTACTTCTCAGAGCAATTGCTCCAGCCCTTTATTTATGTACTCTTCTCTGTATCTGTCCCTGTTCTGAAATTTTCTTGCTGAACAGGAGCAGCAGCTTCAAATATGTCGCCTATTTATCAAAGTTCTATAAAGCATACATTCAGCTATATTGAATGAATAAGTGATTTCAGGTTATGTACCTATATGGAATTGTGTCTCAGGTGATTCTACCTCAAAGAATCCCAATCTATGCATAAGCAGCAGTCCACCACTTTGAATCAAAAGATAACTAATGCTTAACAGTAAGCAAGACATTTGAAGAATTAATCCTCAATGTCAATGTTGATAATAGCACAATGGATTAAAATTGGAAGAAACAGATTCCATCAAAGCATTATGAAGAATTGTTAGGCAGTGGAATATGCTGCCTTGGAGGGTAATGGAGTCTCCCTTCTCTGAAGGTCTTTAAGCACAACATGGGTAGCCATTTGTTAAGAGATCCAATAGACCAGTGGTTCTCAACCTGTGGGTCCCCAAGTGTTTTGGAGAAAATCAGGCTCAAAGCGTTTTTGCAGTAAGAGGGCATCCACCATTTAGTGGTATCCAGAAGACTCCAATATCAACATCTAGCTCTAGTCCTACCACTACTGTTTAAAATACCATGTGCTAATATATTCATTACAATCCACACATATTCTGCAAAGTACAGCTCTTAATTTATCAGAAAGTCCAGAAGGAAAAATTAAACTCTGCTTTCAGTAGAAACCAAAGCAGTTCAATATTTTGCAACTAGGGAGATCAAGCTGTATTAGAATTACAGGTGCTCACCTTAAACCGTCTGGCCAAGAATTTGTTTTTTATCTCCAGGAAGTTGCCCCTGTTCATTTCGCCCTTGAAAGGTTCGTTGAGTATGGCATAACGAGGATCATTCTGGATATCTTGCCACCGAGCATAACCATGGCTGAAATCAGCTAAGATCAGAAAAAATAACTTGGGAAGTCTTTCAAAGTGTAAATCATGAGATCATATTTCCACACAGAAGAGGGTTTCTTTTACAACAAAGAAGAAAACTACCACCATTATCTGAATCCTCAGATATTCTCTGTCCATGGATTCGTGGCAATTTGAAGGCAACCATAAGGCTACTGTGGCCCTAGATGAAAATGCGTTTTGAGACGTCTGCTCTAGAAAAAGGATACTTGATTATTCCTGCCAGGAGCCAGTAGTCATGACGCCGGTGCCAGATCTCATAGGTCTTCTTAGTAACAGTAGCTGCCCGCTCTTCGTTTTGCCACAGGGAATGCAACTCTGCAAGGAGGAAAGCATGGCCAAAAATGTATTTTCTTCACATGCATAAACCACAATTCCCAGGCAATAGATAATCCTTAAAACAACTATTACCAGTGAAGCCACCATCTGCAATATTGAACATGAATCGCTGCTTCAGGGCCTTCTTGTGCCTGTCATCAGTAGGCTCTTTGAGCGTTTCTCCATTCTGGAGCATCACCACATCTTTCTTTTCATCCTCTTTCTTCTCTTCTAGAAAGAAGGAATACAGGTTATGTGAGGCTGAGTAGGCAGTCTCCGCAGGGACTACATCTACACATTAAACAAGCTTTAACATGCTTACCCTTCTCTTCTAGGTTTATAGTTGGAGGCTCTGTGGGTGGGTCTGCTGGGGCCTTCTCTATATCAGCTGCAAGAAAAAAACACTCTTCTAATTGGTAACTCATCTTCCAAGCATTAGCCACTTTAGTCCCAAAGCAGCTTGATTTGACAGTCCAAGAGAGACAGGTCCCATTCAATACTGAAGCACAGCATATATCAATTCATACCTTTACTTTCTGTCTCCATTGGCTCCTCTTTTATTTGTGGTTCATCTGGTTTCTTTTCTTCCACTTCTGAAGCATTCACAGGTGATTTAGCTTCCTGTGAGGGAGTCTCTGTTGGAGGGGGACCCTGCTATGTTTGAAAAAGGATAGCTCAGTCACTTAGTTCTAATATTTCATCTCAGCTTTTACCACTGTTAATCAAATAACTCTTACTCCACATTGTATATGAACTCTGCTTCTTAAAATTGTATTTTAATGCCTAACCTTATGTTTTACTCTTTGTTTTAATGCTCGTCACATACAAATACACATACACACACAGGTCGTTGACCCAAATACACATACACATGCACACAGAGTGAGTCACTTGCAGCGGTATTAAAAAAAACAACCACTCAAGACACCCTTCTCCCCATATACAAGGTCAGCTAAAAGAACTGAGAGCTTTCTTCATCCTTGAACACTATTTGCTGCTTTAATGGGTATTAAGTTTCAACAGAGTTGTGTTTCTCGATATTTGAATTCTGATAAATTAAAATAATCAAATTTAAAATTATTTTCAAAGCAAATGAATTAAAAAACAATCAAGCATGCACAGAAATAAGAAACCTAATTGGAAAGCAAATACAAATTGTTAAAATATTTCAAAGCATGTCCTAAGGAAGAGGGAAGCAGGCTTTTATATGTTGTATGGCACCACTATGTGCTTGTAAGCTGCCCAAGTCCCTTTGGGAGATAGTGGTGAAATATAAATAAAAGGTATTATTATTATTATTATTATTATTATTATTATTATTATTATTATTATTATTATTAGCCTCCCACAGAAGGGAATTCCAGGGAAGCAACCACTGATAAGCCTGTCTTTACCAAGCAAGCCTATGATCAGAACAGGACTGAGAGAAAGCATTCCCCTGTAGATTGCAGAACTCCTGCAGGTTTTGTAAAGAGAAATGTGGCCTAAGAAGAGAACCTCACCTCAGCCGGGACTTCGTTTTCAGCAGCAGTAACAGTGGAACTAATCTCCTTCTTAACTTCTGTTTGATCTCCTTGATCCTTGGTGCAAGGAACCTCTTCCACTTTCACACCCTCTTCTAAAATTGGCACAAGGAAAAGAGAAATACATTTTAAAATGAACTCCTCATTCAAATCCTCAAGAGAAAGCAATATTGTAGCAGAACCCTTTACCAAGCCAATATCCCACAAATATGTCCTCTTGTGCCTTTGAGGGCAATTCAGAGCTCTGAGAAACCCTCCTAAAGTAAGAGTCAATTTGATCTACGTCCGCCGCAAGCCCTCTCTTCCAAAGCTTTGGAAAGAAGGGTGGGAATTGGAGGCTGGACGGAGCTCTCTGAGAAGTATAAAAAACGAAGATCCTCACCAAGTGGGGGAACAGGGGCAGGTGTGTTAGGCTGTGTGTCTCCTGGCGTAGAGGGAGTTGGGGTTTTGGGTGAAGGAGAACTGGGTTGCAACAGTTTCTTGTTTTCCTCTATCTCCGCTAGTTCTGGCATACTCCAGCGTCCATTCACGTGTTCAAACTCTTGCACCTAATCAAAAATTACAACACTCAAGTTCTTACATCTTCAAAATCAGAACCAGTGAAACAGTATTTCTATATTTCTGGACTAATACAGAAACAGGAAGGAAAAGCCTTTCATAATGCTGTCACTATGATGTGCTTTTGAGACAGTGTGTCTGTGATCTGCTCAAGGTCACCCAATGGGTTTCCATGGCTGGCCAGGAAGAGAATCAAATCCAAGTCTCTGGAATCGTTTTTGCTATTTATACCCCAATTTTACTCTCTAAAAGAAAATAGTCAAAGCGGCTCACAATAAAACCAATACTGTACATAAAAATATATAAACATTAAAATAGAATTAAATATTAATGTCATTTAAAATGAACAGTTAAAATCTTTAAAACCAATTAAAAACACGTCCGCACCCTCTGACTCAATCTTAAATCTTCTTTAAAAACCTGCCTGAATAAAAAGCATTGAGCCTGCTGCTGGAAGGATAGCAGGGAAGGGGCCATTCTGGCTTCCCCGGGAAGACAAGGGTTCCAGAGTTGAGCTCCAATGCGCAAACCATTATATCATACTGCATGTGACATATTAATAATTACCTAGAAACTTTTAAGCAGCATCTAAGACCGTGGTCCTCAACCTGTGGGTCCCCAGATGCTTTGGCCTTCAACTCCCAGAAATCCTAACACCTGGTAAAATGGCTGGGATTTCTGGGAGTTGTAGGCCTGGGAACCCACAGGTTGAGAACCACTGCTCTGGAGACTAGGGCTCAAATCTCAACTCAGCCATGGAAACCCACTCAGTAGTCTTGGTTGGGGAAGTCTCGGCCTCAGAGGAAGGCACAAGCAAACCCTCTCTGAACAAACCTTATCACAAAAACCTTGTGATATTGCAACTCTAAATTGGAAATGGCCTGAAGGCAAACAAGAAAAAACTTCCTTAACCTCATAAAGTAATAATTCAGTTTTTTTTAAAGTTCCTACCTTTTTTCGTATGAGTGACATGACCCCTATCCGGGTGAGGACATGCTGCCGTGACAGACCCTCACGTGGGACCCCATCAGCAAATGTTTCTGCCCCATCTGCTCCTGGTTCACATAAGTGGCGCATGAAGAGGGAAACATAGGCCCTGTGGAAAGGAAGAGGGGGCCTGAATTCCAATTTCATGGGATTTAGCTACCTTTTCCCAGTTTGTATCAGCATCACCATCATATTAGTTACCTTTCTGTGACAACCAAAGAAATCTGTGTATGAGTGTCTGTAAGCACAATGTTCACGTATCCAAATTGTTTTAGAAATGCTCTCTTAGTTACAATTGTGTCCGTCCCCCCCCAAAAAAACTCCAACATATTCTATTGGGTTTATTACTAAAAAGTGAAAGTTTCCCATTGACATTAAGTTTAGTCGTGTCCGACTCGGGGGTGGTACTCCTCTCCATTTCTAAACAGAAGAGCCAGCATTGTCTGTAGACACCCCCTTGTCATGTGGCCGGCATGCCTGTATGGAGCGCCGTTACCTTCCCGCAGAAGCGATACCTATTGATCTATTCACATTTGCATGTTTTCGAACTGCTAAGTGGGCAGAAGCTGGGGCTAACAGCGGAAGCTCATGCTGCTCCTTGGATTCGAACCTGCGACCTTTCGGTCAGCAAGTTCAGCAGCTCAGTGATTTAACCCACCGCACCACCAGGGGGACCCTAGTGTATTACTAGGACACAAATAAATAATGTTTTTGAAATCTGAACATTTGCTGTGACCCGCCTCAACCCACGAGGAGAGGCAGGTGAGAAATTTAAAAAATAGTATTATTATTGTTATTATTTCTTTCCCATAAAATGAGATTAGCAGACATTTCTTAACAGTCCTAGAAAAGAAGTCATTTAGGTAGCCTCAAAATGACAAATTAAATAATGGTTTTTATTCTATCTCTCTCCATGACTAATGAAGTAAAGTGTCTTAATTTTTCATTGTGAATTTTGGTCTTGGATATCTTTTAGCTGAAATTGAACCTCCTGTATTTGAATGCTTTGCAATTTCAGAGACAATGAAATGGCAAGCTTCCTCAATGGTAAACCTGATTTCAGCTGAATGGTTGCCAATGAGCTTAAAATGAATATGGAGATATTATGAAGACTATTCTATTACTGCAAAAAAAATCACAAAACTGCAGTTACGGTGTGTCGTTTCCAAGGAAGAGCGGGTTTGTTCTGTTCATAGTGAAGACAGTAAGTGACAAAGTAAAGAACCTGTTCTCTTACTTCATACTGACTAAGCATAGCAATGGTAACAACCCAGAGGCACTACATTGTATTATGCCACTAGTTCATATCACTTTCTCTCCAGGCACTGCTTGTCAAATCCTATCATTTCTCTTCCATAGTAGAATATGTTGCCTGTCTGCCACACTTCCCTTTCTCGTAAGTTTAAAAAGTTACCACCACCACCCCCCATCTTTTCCCACTGAACTTTGAAAGCTATTCCTCAGTCTGGGGCAAGGCACAAAAAACTTTACAGGATTTTTTAAAATCAAAGCTACAATTACAGCCTTAATTATTTTTATTGGGAATGCCAAATAAACAAACAAAATAACTAAACTACAAAGTACTGCACTATATGGTAACTGCAGCACGGATGCTATACACACAACTTTGGAAGAATTTACACCTTCTGACAATAGAAGAATGGATTGTAAAAGTTTTTGGAATAATGAAAATGGATAAAATGAACAATAAAAACACACACAAAAAAAGCCCTTTATCAAAGACTGGGGACCATTTCTAAATTTTGTAAAAAGAAAGAGAAATATTTTATATAAAAGGCATCATAATTTAACCTGTTAGAACTTTTGTATGGAATCGTCTAATAGTGACTATTATGCTGGATGGAAGAAACGAGACAAGTGGGAGGAAAAAAAGGCATAGCTATGACCAATTACTGTATAGATGTTAGAAAATATTGCCTTTGTTTGTGTATTATACCTAAGTATAGATTCTTATTGTTGTTCTTTTCGAGAAACATGCACATTTACAAATAATTAAACAAAAAAAGTTTTCCCTCCTCAAAGCTTGCAAAAACTCACTTGAACTCCTTCTCTGATTTTCCTCGGAGATCTCGCACCAGCCACTGAGTGGTAAAGGCATCCTGAGGAGGCATTCCATAGCGCATGATGGCATTAAGGAAGGCCTTCCGCTGGCGAGCATTAAAGCCCAGAACCTGAACATGAGAAAGGGGGGAAATCATATTCAACATATACAAGCTGTAATGTGTTCAGAGAAGGACAACTAAAATGATTAAGGATTTGGAGAACAAGTCCTATGAGGAGTGGTTTAAAGAGCAGGGCATGTTTAGTCTGCAGAAGAGAAGGCAAAAAGGAGTGTGGTCTCCCCCTTTTCCAAATATTTTCCTCATTACTAAATATTAGTATTAGGTGGAAAGATTATAGAAAATGGGAGGTAAAAAAATGGTATGAGTATTTAGCAGAATATATGCTCCAGGAGTATATCTATGAAAAAAGAAGCAAATACACAACAAGCCGACTTAAGAAAACTTGGATGCAGAAATGGGAAAGACTGATAGAAAAAGTGGAAGGAAATGAAAGATATAAGGTGCTAAACCATTCTCTTTATACAATTGTTCAATTAAATTAAGTTCTGAATTAAGGTATTTACTGTTCCTTGAAGTGGGGGGGGGGGAAGGGGTGTAAAATCGTAAGACACAAGGGTAAGATGAAGGGGAGACAGATAAGAGCATTAGGTAATTATAATGGGATATGTGATATATGGGATGTGATAGGTTTTCAGAATGTAATTTAGTAACTGAATTTCCAACAATGAGTGGATGTGATGGTATTATATTTGTGTCGGAAAATTCTAATAAATAATTTTTTAAAAAAAACAAAAAAAAACTATTCCAACTTTCACAAACATAAAATCCACCAGCATCAAGGACATATGTCCCTCGTCATTTTATTCATCTAAAAGGTTCCTGTGTCAAACTTCATCACACAACTCCCAATGTGTCATACACTATAAATTACCTCTATGTTGCCTCCCACACGGGCAAGCAGAGGCGGCAGTGGCTTGTCTTTGTCGTTCCTTAAGCCTTTGCGGTTCGGTCGGCGAGCAGCTGTCAAGACCAAAAAGAAAAAAAGTAAGAGCAGTATAATGAAATTAGATGGACTTCAATACATTATTAACCAGAGTTTTCCAAACATTTCATGTTGCATCATTTCGTGACACGGTCATTCAGTTTTACTATCAAACAAATGCCCTATAAGAGACGGATACATACACGACATATGGACACATTCAGGGGACACACGTGTGTCCCCTGAATATGAATGAATGAATGAATGAATGTGTGTGTGTGTGTGTGTGTGTGTGTGTGTGTGTGTGTGTGTGTGTATATATATATATATATATATATATATATATATATATATATATATGGGTTAGGAATGGATAGAGGGAGTATGTGAAGAATCTCTACCTTATTTCTCTGATTCAGGGTATATTGTGCTGTGTCAAGACAGAATACGTATGTCTCTCACCTCCACCATTTTTTCTCAGGTAAGCTGAGATGCAGTGACTATCTCGTCAATCGACTCATGTCTCAATAAAGATTTTAACCTGGACCTCTCTAATCTTGTCTGACATTCTAATCATGATTCCACAGATGCCCTCAGTATTTCCTCTAGACTAATCATTTCATTCCCCACATTTCATATCCAAAAAGGAGAAGGGCACAAAACCAAATAACCTACCTTCTGATCTTTCATCAAAGTCTTCATCTCCTTCCTCAGAGGCAACAGAATAATCAGACTGATTATCTGACTGATCATCCTGCCAATCTGGAAAGACAAAATGCACAGCTAAGTTGTCTGGGGAAAGGAACACACTACCATACACCCCTTCACCTGCATACCTCTCTGCATACCTCTGTCCTCCTGGGAACCATCGTTGTAGTTGACTTGCTTGCGGATACGCTTGCCTTTCCCCAGATTCCGGGCCAGGTCTTCTTGCTGTTGTTCATAATGATGACGAAGCAACTTCTCCCAGTAATCTGGGTCCACTGACTCTTCTTGTTTGATAATCTCCCGTTCAACCTCCTCTTCCTCCTACCACAGAAATACTGAATCTTAAGAATAATGCATTCAGTGCATTTTATCGCATAATAGTCGCATTCTATTTTTTGACTGGTGAAATTTGGGGGTTTTTTTGTGTTCCTCCTTCCTTCCTTCTACAAACATAAGTTAGTTTTAAAAACCTGAAATTGAGGTCTCTGGAATGCAGATCTTCCCTCCTTCTTCCAAAGAACTCCATTTCAGATTTTGTATATAGCCTTGATTTGGAGAAAGAAAGAAAGAAAAGAAGGGGAATCTTCCCTCTTCTTTCCTTCTTTCTGCAAGTTTAAAGGCAGTTTTAAAAAACATAGAAATGGATCTGTTTGTGTGGGGCTAGATCATACCTCCTCCACCTCCTGTCTTGCAAATAATAATAATAATAACAATATTTTTTTTGGTCGTGTCAGGAGCGACTTGAGAAACTGCAAGTCGCTTCTGGTGTGAGAGACTGCCCTATCTCCCCGAAGGGACTCAAGGCAGTTTCCAACACATATGGCAAACATTCAATGCCTATAAAGAACATATAAACAAATTATATCAAAACAGAATACATCAAACAATATACAAGCAACCTAACTGTAAACTTGTTAAAAATTAAAAATTAACCAAAAATACAACTTAAATAACCCATAACCAACTTTTCAAAAAGGCAGTTTTTAAAAACAACCCAAAAATTGGAGAATTAAAGGCAGATTTCCCCCCCCCCCCCCCATCGGGTAATAGTTGCATCCCCTTTGTTCAATCAAAATGAAAAGGGCTAAGAAGTGTGATTATTATGCGATGTAAGACGGCATATACAGGCTCACTCAGACGAAGTCCTAATAGGGTTTACTTCCAAACAGGGAACGTCTACAGCAAAGACATTGAATGTTTAGCCCTTCAAGATATTCTGGCTTACAACTCCCATTTGTCATGCTCAGTATGGCTAATAGCAATGGACTGTGAGACTTGCTGTCTGAAACATCTGCTGAAGAGGTACTTTATACCAAGGAAAAAGTTAAGAGGCAGTTAATACATTCTTACTTACCCCCATTTCCTCTTCACGCACCACATACTGAGCCACTTTGAAAGAACTCAGGTACTCGTTCATACCCTGGATCTCAGCGTCCTCTATTTCATCTTGGTTACGGTCCAGGAGACGTTCAATTGCCTTGTCATCATAATGAATGACACTGATATCTTCGCCTTCTTTGATATCACCTGGGGCAGGAGGACAAAGATTTGGCTGCAATTCCAAGGACCAAAGCACACGCTAGAGCCAAAGAAATGTTAATAATTGGTTCACTTACTTTGTGCTACATTGCGCAGGTTTTTACCACCTTCTGTAGCTTCGTCTTTGAAAAGTTCCTCGGTGCCAAACTTGAGGATATCATCTAGCTCCTGTTTTGACATAGAGCCAGTCTTTGATCCCAACCCTGGCCTCACGACCAAATGGGTCAGCATCATTTTCTTCTTGGCCACTTGTGTGATCCGCTCTTCTACTGAGGCTCTTGTGACGAAACGATAAATCATCACTTTCTTATTTTGCCCAATTCGGTGAGCACGGCTGAAGGCCTGACAGAGAGAAAAGAGATGGGAGAAAAAAGTCCACAATTCACAACATTTTCCTCGCTGGCTTAGGAATTTTTATTTTCTTTCCCTCCCAATGCCACAGGCTTTCTCTTCACATTCTATCTCAGGTGTTCTGGTAGTATATTCATTTTGATAGATGACTTCTTCTCAAAAGTGACAATTTTAATTTGTTCCATCTTTGTATAACTGTTTTTATTTCTTTCCATGCCTTCTCATAATTGTCTTGAAATACTATTCTTATCTGCAAATGTTATTCCTAAGTATTTTACTTGTTTCTATTTTAGTCCTGATATTTTAATTTATTCTTCTCTTTTTGTAAGAACTTTTGTTTTTTGTATATTTATTTTACAATCTATTATTTTTCCAAATTCTTCTAATGTGGTTGATCCAGTGTGCCTTCCCAGAATAGGAAACTCCAAACATCATGTCCCAAATGCACTTTACTAGAGATTTAAGATTGTCTGCATACCGCACCTATCTCCAAAAACCTATTCATTTCACCGGTCATGCCCAGGATTTAAAAAAAAATTTAAGCATTACATTGGCCCGGCCTTAGTCTTAAATGCGTCGTGGTGTTATTGTCTAATGTTTATTGCTTATTGTTGTGTTTTATGAGTTTATTAGTTTATTTATTGTTGTATTTGTTATGCTGTTGTTTTATTGATGTGTTGGGCCTTGGCCTCTTGTAAGCCGCACCAAGTCCTCCGGGAGATGTTAGCGGGATATAAATAAAGGATTATTATTATTATTAATGTATGTAGTAAATTCTCTACATTTTCTAATGGATCTTCTATTATAATCATTCAATCATCTGTGAATGATCTCCTTTTGAATATTTCATTCCTCATTTTGAGCGCTCTGATTTTTCCTTTTCTCTTTATCTTTCTTAACAACACTTGAAATGCCAAGATGAATAACAGTGGAGACAATAAGTGCCCTTGTCTTGTGTCCTTTTGAACCCTACAATCTTTAGAAACTTCTCTGTTCATGAAATTTTTTGGAAGTTTGTGATTTATAAATTGCTTTAATCCACAACATATTGGTTTCAAATTCCATTTTAATAAAATTGTAAATAAAGACTTCCAATTTAAATTATCAAATACTTTTTCTGTGTCTATGAACACTAGTGCTGCTTTTCTTTCATTGTATTTATCCAGGAATTCAATTGTGCCCAAGACTACTCTCAGATTGTCCCGAGTATTTCCTTTAAGAAGAAAGACTGATTTTCAGGTATGAATTTATTTAGGACTTTTAAAAATCTTTCCTTATCTTGCATGTTCTTATCCTGTGGATTAAACTCACCTGGATGTCATTATGTGGATTCCAGTCTGAATCATAGATTATCACTGTGTCTGCAGTGGCAAGGTTGATACCAAGGCCTCCAGCTCTTGTGGAAAGTAGGAAACAGAACTGTGGGGCACCAGGAGCTAGAAAAGACAAGACACTGTCAGATATTATAGGCTTAAAATATCCAGTCTTTTCATTTTTCAGAGGTTCCTCAGATGAACCAGCATAGTAAAAAGTGGCATTCAACAAAACTGACAAAGGTTTGGACAGGGGAGGAAGAGGATTCAAACTTCCCCAAGGTGCTATATCCTCCTTTCATATCCATACCATTAAAACGATCAATGGCTTCTTGGCGCATATTTCCTGTGATTCCACCATCGATTCTCTCATACTTATATCCTTCATGTTCCAGGAAGTCTTCTAACAGATCTAGCATCTTAGTCATCTTTAAAAAAGAGAGAAACAAATGGAAGTGAAGACACACGAAATTCATGGAGCTCACCTGCCACCATTTTGATGGCTACTGTGATATACCATCATCCACAGCCAAAGCAAGAAATGATTGTCCTTGGTATACCTGAGAGAAAATCAGCACTCTGTGCCCACCCTCCTTGAGGTTCTTCAACATCTTTTGCAGCAGAAGCAACTTCCCAGAGGCACGAATTAGAGCACTGCCATCAAACATCCCGTTGGGCATTTTTGGTGCTTCCTGGATATAAAAAGAAAGGGAAAAAAGATATAGCAAGGAGGGAAGGTATTAGTAAAGGTGATGGTCTTGGTCTGATAGCTATTCACAAGTGTCAGTTTAGTTTACTGTGAATGCATTCCGCAGCCTTACATTTATTTTTTACCAGTGCTGCTCTAGTAGTTCATTACTTTATAAAGTTGGGTATGTCTCTATCATTTGCGTCTCTCTCTGTGTGTAGGCCTGTTAACTTTTAGTGATCCCATGAATTTCACATGCAAGGAGATGGTTTTGCCATTTCTTCCTCTGAAATGTAACCTGCCACACCTGGGATTTATTGGTGGTCTCCCATCCAAATATTAACTTAGCTTCCAAGATCAAATGGGATCTGGGTTTTTTTCATGTCAGAAGCAGCTTGAGAAACTGCAAGCCATTTCTGGTGTGAGAGAACTGCCCATCTGCAGGGACGTTGCCCAAGGGACGCCCGGATGTTATACCATCATGCGGGAGGCTTCTCTCATGTCCTCGCATAGGAAGCTGGAGCTGACAGACAGGGCTCACCCCTCAATCTGGTGCCTTTAGGGTATCTTTTATTTGGAAGAAAACCCTATTTGCGCCATGGAAGGAGGTGAACAGCAACAAATGTATGTTCCACTACTTAGGAAATGTCACATTTCAGCCCAATTCAGTCGCATTTGAGATGACCATCAAATTATAAGATTACCCTTGACAGTGACTGTAATAAAAGGCTGACGTTGAAGTAATAATTAAGATACCAAGGGATAGTTGAAGATGAGGCCGTATAAATTAGCTTGAAAAGCAATAACCAGGATTTTTAAAAAGCATCAAGCAAACTGCCTAATTCTTAACACACAAATCACAAATTGAATACAGGCAATTCCAAGGTTACAAACCACCTAAGTCTGTAAGTTTCTTCTTAAGTTCAATTTGCATAGAAGTCAGAACAGGCACATTTTAAAAATATAACTCCAGTCAAAAACTTTTTTTAAAAGTTTAGGATAGCATTAACACCCTTGTAATATTTGTTTTGCTGCCTGTACCCTGTTCAGAACATTTTACCTCACTTTCTGTCCCTGTGACAATTGGATTTTGAAAATTTGGGGTGGTAGTGGAAACAAGGATTCGTTATAAAGCTTCGGTTGAGACCCCTTTTCTCCATGGTAATTTCCTCTCATTTCCTGTTGTCTCATCCTTGTTTTTAATTAGTAGTCGCATGGAAGTTCGATATCTGTAACTCGACTGTACTTACCATAGCAGCTACGGGAAAGAGATATGGGTGGTTGCAACATTTCTTCAGATCCATAACCACATTGAGTAGAGAAACTTGGTTGCCGCCACCACGGGCATTCAGGGCCTCAAAATTCCTTGTCAGGATATATTTGTAGTATTTCCTATAACAATATCAACACTTACTTTGCTATCCTCTTTTCACATAATACTGATCAGCTGTAGATATTTAGCATCAGAATACAGAAGCACGATTCTCTTTTTACCAACTCAAACTACTTGGGCCCCTGATTGGTAAACATCTATTTTATGCATCTGAGCAAGCATGGGAGACTAAAAAAAGAAATCTGAGTGCATCACATATTTGATTCTAAATCAGCATCCCAAGGCTAAAAAAAAAAGAAAGATGGAATCCAGTAAGCTCAACCTTATTTGCTCAACAAAAAGGAACAGGTAACTAGATGGCACTCACTTTTGCATAGGACTTAGTTCCACCCTGACAATGAGCTCTGTCTTGGAAGGCATGTTCTTGAAGACATCTGCCTTTAAGCGCCTCAGCATGTGCGGGCCCAACATATCATGAAGCTTTTTGATCTGATCTTCCTTAGCAATGTCCGCAAACTCCTCCAGAAAGCCCTCAAGGTTGCTACAAGATAATTCAGATAAATACTCAGGAAAAAACAAACAAACAAACAACGGGACCTCTGAAAAAGCAAGTGGAGAACTAAGCTGTGCCCAACTATGGTCTGATGAACTTACTGAAATCGCTCTGGTGTCAGGAAGTTAAGAAGGTGAAACAATTCCTCCAGATTGTTCTGTAGGGGGGTCCCTGTGAGCAGGAGTTTATGCTGGAGAGAGTAACCATTCAGCACCCGGAAAAACTGAAAGCAGCATTGGAAAGAAAAAAAAGGAGAGGTTTATTACTATGTTCTCAAATATTTAGAACTCTTGTACAGGAAGACAAACCACTCACCTTGTCATTAACTTTATACTAACTGAACAATTCCTTACCAATGTAAAGCTATAATAGCCTCATAACACTATGAAATACCAACCTGTTCCACAACTACAACAAAATAAAATAAACATGAGACTAAAATGAAGATTCCAGAGATTTGGGGGGGTGACAGTAGATGCAAGGTAGTTACAATATTTGTCTGAAGAAGAAACAGGTTTCAGACAAATATTGTTTAATTATTTCTAAAAGCAGGTTATGTTAGTTGAGTGGGCTTAATACCAAAAGACCCTCCCCATAAATGCACATCAGAGTAACTTAGCAGCAGTATGATCCAGCACCAGTAGCCAAAAGTGACAGAAGAACAAAAATACACAGACCAATGTTATCTCTTCCATAGGAGGCTTTTCTTTATAGCAAAATAATATGATTGTACTATTTAAAAGAGCAAGGTTTTCATAACACAAATAAAGTTCTTTATACTTCCTTCTTTGCTTCCAATGCAGAGTTTCTTTCTCATGCAGAAAAACAGCTTTGCTCTCACAGAGCCTCTTCTCACACCTAAGTTACACAGCAGCTTCACACAGTAGGTTTTTTACAAACAGCAGCCTTCACACACAATGGCCTTCAACCTGGGGCTTCTCTCATAGAAGCTTCTCACACCAGGCGCTCTCAAATCGAGGCCTACCAACACTGAGGCCTATCTCCCACTGAGGTCTCTGTCATATGCCTCTCTCACACTGAAGCCTACTAACACACCGAGGCTCTTCTCCCACAGAGACCTCTCACAGACTGAGGCCACTAAGCTACATGCACACCTGCTTATATAGAACCACAGCTTTTGCTGAATCATTGCATCCATTTAACCCTTTCGGTGCTTGACTCACATTTTTGTAATTAAAAATACCTAGTTAATTTTTAATATTTCTGACAGTACAACAGTGTGACACATATGTGCAACACATGTGAGCTGCAAAGCATATTCCAAGATCTCATCATCATCTTAATTTCTATCCTGCCTTTCTCACTATGGGTTGTATCATGTTATTTTAAGGATTCAAGGCAGCTTACAACAACATGACACAACCCAGTAAATTCAAAAACATGGCCATTAAATATTTGCGTCACAAATACAAAAAACAGTTAAAACTGTTAGTTTAACAAGAAAAAAGATAGTAAATCTGGAAAAGCCTCTATACTTTAAGCTATAAATCATGAAGAGCAAGGAATCACTGAAGTCTGCCTTTACCTTGGACTGATTATTCTTCAGTCTGTGCGCTTCATCAACTATGAGACAAGCCCAATCAATGGAGCCCAGAATAGCCATGTCAATTGTGATCAACTCATAGGAAGTGAGCAACACATGGAATTTCACAGATGCCTCTTTCTGAAAGAATCAGAGGAAATTAAATTAAAAACAAAGAAAATGAGGGGAGGAAAGGTGCATTCGGAGGTCACAACTAAATTTGCATTTTCCACCACCTGTTTTCACTACAACTTATTCAAGACCCCAGAATATTATCAAGAGCAGTAATCTTAAATTAGTCTGCTATAATACCTTCATCTTGGAAGCCTTCTTTCCCCCACGTATAGCATTATCTTCAAAGGAGAATTCGTTCTCACGGATGATGGCTCGGCTGTCTTTGTCTCCAACATATGTCACCACATACATGTCTGGGGCCCACATTTCAAATTCTCTCTCCCAGTTGATGATGGTAGACAATGGAGCACCCACCAAGAAAGGCCCTTTAGAGTGTCCCTAGGGCGAGATAAACCCACGAGGTAAGAGAACAGGAAATGCGCTTCTGTAATATAAATGTATGCATACACTTCAACATCAACCTGAACCTCACCTCTTTGTATAGTGAATACAAAAACACTGCAGTCTGTACAGTCTTTCCCAGACCCATTTCATCAGCCAGGATGGTGTCTGTGCCTTGAGCCCAAGAGAAACGCAGCCAGTTGAGGCCCTCCAGTTGATAGGGATGCAGTGTTCCTCCAGTCACATCCAGGTAATCAGGTTGTCTATCATACTTCACGGTAGGCTGCAGAGAGAGAAAAAAAATGAATTCAGAACTGTCTCATTCCTGCCTGCCAGTACTTAGAAGAAGTATGCTTCACCAGATAGCATAGAGCACTCTAGAGTTCAGGTCTTAGTATAGCAAGACTAAGTTTTGAAACTCGCCACAGTTAATACCTTTAGTTCCTGAACCATACTTTATAGATTTCAGTATTTCCCTTCTGTATTCAATGTCATCTCCATTACTAGCATTAAAAACAAATGAGTGCACAACGAAAGGCCTCTAATGCAGAGGTCTTGTGTGTACATCCTTGCCAGTTTAGATCCTGAGGATAGGAAACTGCACACAACTTCCTATTTTATGTCTCTATTTCCTGCTTGTGAAATTTGTTTGAAAAAGATATGACAGAGTTAATGCAAACAAATAATAAAGTGGGGAGATGAAGAAAGAACAGAAGTACAAGGGAAATGATGGTATCTATGAAGAATAAAATGAAACTGCAATGAACAGAACAATCAGAGCATTTCCATCCTGGCCGTACAAGTTCAATGCATTTCCGCTTTCTTGTCTCCTACACTCCCAAGCCCACCATTAACTCACATCAACTGTTGGTGTTTCTGGAGGCCTCTCTAATTTCCGTAACTTCACTTTCTTTATCTTCTTGCCAGGTCTTCCTTCATCACCCCTCATCAACTCCCTGTGTAAGGAAACAACCATACAGGTGTTAGACAGACTCTGAAATACAACAAAAGACAGCTGGGGAACATTTTTCCCCTCAGAGAAATAATCACAGACCTGGTACAGAGCCCAATCCTTTCAGGAATAAAGCTGTAAGATACCCACACCCCATTCATATTTCCAATTGCGCTTTTTCTGTCACATGTTCAATTAAATTTTAAATGCCATCACCTGTGATTCCAATATGACTGTTTGAAGCTGTCATAATCTTGCACGTCTTCCTCCTCATTTTCCCAAGAAGCTTGGTCATATGGTAGATCTCTCCATTTAATAAGATAGTGAACATTCCCCTTCTTATCCACACTGAAAGAAAAACACAATCTTGAGATTTTTCTAAAACTTGTTACCACACTAGTGGAACACCGACACTTCGCAAAGATGGATAAATTAACCTGTTTATTAAAAGAAGGGACATTGAAAACCTTTTATTGAGTTTTCTGCAAGAAGAAAAAAAGAATTTAACAATTTTAAGTTTTGAAGATGAATTTGAAAAGTGTTTCTGATTGAGAAAAAAAATCAAAACTAAGCAATCTGATGGGTGATGCCTATGTTATTCTTCGTAGCTGAGTGAAGATAGATTGAAAGTCAACTATTTATTTTTATATTCTCTTTTTTCCTTTCTATGCTTATTTTCTTTCATTTTCTTGGCACTTTTGTCTTTCTAGTCTATACTTTTCTTTGTTAACTTTTAATGTAACTTTTAAAATCTTTCCATAAAAAAGAGAATTAGTGCTCCTATTATTATATTATCATTATCCTGTTTTCTCTCCCTAAACAAGAGACTCAAAGTGGCTCACAAAAAATACAATATAATTTAAAAACCTAAAAATATACAAACATTAAAATAGAATTAAACAGTAACAGTATTAAAAAAAAAAAACTAAAACCAATTGCAAACCTATTCATACACCTAAAACCACAGGTGTAATTGCCCCCAAACAGTAAAATGAATTCAAGAGTTGATCCTCCATTCCCACCTTCCAGAAAGCATTTAGGCTACTCATCTTCACCAGATTTGGTTTTCAGGCAATTTCCATTGCATTCCTCACCTATGGTTGAGAATCCGATGGATCATCATCCACTCTGGCTTGATCCCATAACGGTAAAAACGCTCCTCCATCTCTGCAAACTTAGGATCTTTGTTCTTGCGCTTGCGGAGCTTTTCTTCTTCCCCTCCAAAATCTCCTGATGGGGGCTCATCCATATCATTTTTTCGTTGGTAATTACGAAACAATACTTGGCAATGCAGTTCCAGCTGTGGTACAAACAATTGCACAGTTACACACTCAAAGAAACATGGAGTTAGCCAGATTTCTTCCTCTGACACAATCAAGCTCTCTTCCAATTACCTGCAGCTCAGACACCCAGGAACAGTGCCAGTAGGACATGCCCACCCACTTGACAAAGAATTGTCGCTCAGGCCTTCCTTCCAGCGGCTTCGGAGAAGGTGCATTCGGGTCGGCATCGGCTGGCCGTGGGACAGGCGTGGGTAATGGAGGCTGTCCCCACTTCCAAGTCAAGATCTTCTGCACCTTGCCTTTCAGAGGTGGACACTGGGGAAATTGTACAGAGATATTGAAAATTGCTCCCCATACAGTAACTTTCTCCCCTCTGCCTCCACCCCATCAACACTGGCTGGAATGTCGAGGTATTTTCAATATCACAACAGGAGAGAACTCAAACTCAACCACAATCTGTTCGTATATTCTAACTATCTACAGCAGGGGTCCTCAAACTTTTAAAACAGAGGCCAAGTCACAGTCCCTCAAACTGTTGGAGGGCCGGATTATAATTTGAAAATTTTTAATGAATTCCTGTGCATACTGCACATATCTTATTTGCAGTGCAAAAACACTTAAAACAATAAAATAATTAAAATGAAGAACAATTTTAACAAATATAAACTTATTAGTATTTCAATGGGAAGTGTGGGCCTGATTTTGGCTGATGAGATAGGATTGTTGTATCATTTCATGTCATTTCAGACTTAGGTTGACCCTGAGCAAGGGTCGAGTAAATGACCTTGGAGGGCCGTATCTGGCCCCCGGGCCTTAGTTTGAGGATCCCTGATCTACAGCGATAAGAGTAAAAAAGCTTATCCAGGAAAGAAAGAAAAAAAGTATGTAATTTTTGCCTACTAAGGAGGCAGGAGAAATTCCTTCTACTTTGTCTTTTAGGAAGAAAATAGAAAGCATTGCCAAGTCTAACCTCTTCAAATGACTAAGCTTTTGACTGGGTGCAGAAAGCACCAGAATGCTTGGGAACTGACTAGGAGTACATCTGCAAAAGTCAAAATAGCTTATAAGTTATGAGGCAGTTTAGTAGCTGTCTTGAATCTTCTTCCCCACTTTCACACCATTATCAGAAGTGAAACTTCCAAGTTTATGTAGTTCAGAATGGCATGAAACATAGTCATTTACAACAGTTCAACATGAGTAACTGTCCCTTGATAGTTTGCTAATAACTGGGTTAGTTTGTCCATATTCATAATTTCCATCATTTTTGTTAACCATTGGTCTATTGAAGATATTTCTTTTATTCTCCAATTGTGTACATAAACTACCCTTGCCACTGTAACCAAGTAATTGAAAAGTATATCTTTATTCTTGTCCAAATCAATATCTAATATTCCCAGTAAGTTATATTCCGGTTTCAATTGTATTTTTGTACCGAGTACGTTCTGGATTTTTTTCTTTTATTTCCCTCCAAAAATTCCTTGCTTTTTGCAGGTCCACCACATATGGTAAAAAATACCCACGTTGATTTTGTATTTCTAGCATTTATCTTCCATATTTTTATAAGATTTTGCTAGCTTTTAGGGAGTTATGTACCATTGGTGCATCGTTTTGTAACAGTTCTCTTTTAGATCATAGGCATATGTATATTTTATTTTATGTTTCCATATTCCCTCCCAATCTCCAGTTTTATTGTATTACCTATGTTGACTGCCCATTTGAACATGCCATCTTTTACTTGGTCTGTTTCTGTCGACCATTCCAGCAAATTCTTATAGAAATTTTTATAGGCAAACCAAAAAAACACAACGGATTGGTCACCTTTAGAGTACATGACATGAGAAAAAATGAAACTGATAATGTAATAAAATGTAAGAGGAAAAGAAAAAATGACACACAAAGAAGGATGAAGATGGGAAGCAAAAATTAAAAAGAATTTTACAAGGACAATATAAACTATGACGAAGATTGGAAGTCGGAAAACTTTCTTCTCCTTCCCTCCCTACTTTCCCATAACACAAGATTCTTCCTTTTTTTTTACCCCTTCCCAATTTTTTAGCCCAATCCCTACCCCACTTTTCCTGTTTTCAGACATATGTTAATCAATAAAAATTACTATAAAAATGAGTAACTGTCCCAGACGTTTAATACTTAGTCCAATCCCACCTTATACTCCTCAGGTCACTGAAGCTTGTGTTAAAAATCGGAGAAGAGTATCTTATTTAAATATGAAAAAATGTATATGAATCTGGTTGATTTTACCAAACCCCAGAGTGATCAAATTCACATCCAAAATTTTTAATTATTTATTCTTGGTGTGGGGGGGAGGTCTCTGTGGATGCTGAAGATAGGCATGTCTCAGTTTTGAACACCTTGGGTAAAATGCTATCTAAAGTATAACACTTCCATGGTCACTAACTCAAATTAAATTCCCTACTAGTAAAAAAAAGTAAGAACTCACAGTACAGCGTGGGCAAAGCCACTCTCCATTGGGAATCTCTGGCAATGGGGGATTCAAGCAGTGGATGTGGTAGGAAGAAGGACAGGCATCGCAGCACAGTAGCTCTCCTCCATCTTTACAAACACGGCAGAACTCCATGTGGTGATCATCCTCTTCTTCTGCGTCCCCCACAGCATCCTCCATCGCTTCCTCACCCTCAGAATTATCTTCTTTGGCCTCCCATTGGATGCCCTCTTTTTCCTAAAGGAGAAGGAAACTGTTAGATCAAATTGCTAAGATCACAGTAAGCGGTCCACCTAATACTACCTTCCCAATATTTTAACTAATGTAATATAATCCAAAACTCACACAATGTGGGCAGCTCCACTTGCCCTCTGGAGCTTTCTCCATATCTGGATCCAGACAAACCATGTGATAGGCACGAGGGCAAGTGTCACACAGGATGATCTCTCCACCCTGTTGGCACACCTCACAGTAGTCCTGGTGATCTGTTTCATAGCCATCCACAGTTGCAGCAGAATCTTCTTCTCCTAGCAGAGCGAGACAGGAGAGAAGACATATAACAGGAGTGAGTTCTTGAATGGAGCTCTTTAAGCCTCATGCAAGAAAGCACTATCTAGATTGCAAAGTTCCACAATTTAGGAAACTATAGTTGCTGACATGGTGAAATCCCATCAAATAATCAAATCCCAAGGCTGGATCAGCAATAGCCACTTGCTACTGAATAAAAAGTCCAAAAGATACTTAAGATTTCTTGAAAGCGTAAATTCCATATAAGAGTTTCCCCACTAGAAAAACGCAGAGCCTTCTCTGGGGTCACAGCTGCAAACTTTGTTTATACACGTGCTCTCAGCACTACATTACTTTAATCTGCATCTAATTCACATACCTTACATATCACACTTCTCATCTGAGCAAAGTTCAATACCTTTCTTTTTCTTTTTTCCTGCTTTTAGTTTCTTGCGGCTGCGGCTGCTACGACTAGTAGATCCATCTGACACAGAGTAGCTATTAATGCTTGCATCATCGAAGTCTGACTCGACATCCAGGTCATCCTCCTCACTCTATAGGAACAAAACCCGATAAAAATGGATGAGAGCCTGATGCAACGTCTATACCAGTCATACTATATCTTGAAGGATGAACAAGTCAGCAGGAGCAAAATCCCACCCACTTTATCTAATAGGGAAAACTCACTGAAGATCTTTTACGCTTGGAACCAAATCCTCCCAGCTTGATTTTCAAAGGTGCCACTTTTTTTGTTTTGGGTTTTTTTATTTCAGGAACACGGGGACTGGCCTTGGGCTTCTTCCGGGCATTGGGTCCTAAAAACAAATCACCATAGTTTCATTATTAACTAGAACACTAAACCGGGGCTTCTAAAACTTGTCCACTCAAACTCTTTTTGGCTCAATAAATGTTTATGTGAGCCCAGTTATTTAAAATGGGTACAGAAATCAAACCTTTGCTGATAACAAATCAGCATTTGCAAGGCTTGTGAAACAGGCAGATCTTCCTGTTTATGAAGTACAGCTGAGGCATCTTCTGCAGAGTCCACTGTAAACTCTGCACAACAGATTCATGTAAATGTCTAAAGTAGTCACTAAGTGACATTTAGAAAACTTTTACTTTTTTCCATTACTTTTCAGGACCATTTGTCTTGAAATATAACGAAGTAGAATTGATCAGAGCTGCTGGAATGAAGAGATAGTTTGAGGAAGAAAATACTTGTCCCATTATCCCAGAAAATCCCATATCAGTCTTTCACCTTTGCCTTCCTTGGTCTTGGCTTTTCGAAGTGGCACTTCAACTGGAGGCTGAGGAAGGACTGGATCCACACTGGCGACCATGCTCTCCACCACAGCCACAGCGGCGGCAGCAGCAGCAGCCACAGATGCCCCAGAGCTCCCTTTAAAGGGGTTGTTCGTGCTGAACTCTCTCCACTTGGCCCCCAGAACCATCATCATTTTGGAGACAGCAATTTTGGGATTCTTGGCAGCAATAAGTGGCCTAAGGAGATGGAGAAGAGGAGAGGGAAAAAACACCATGCTGGTCACTCTACATGTCTTGTCTTCAAAGTGTCCACCAGAAATCATGCAAATGAGAGAAGAAAATCTTCTTGTGAATTACCATAAGGAAAACTTAATTTTTTCCGAGTCCCCAACTTCGTCACAAAAAGACCAGTTTTGTGGCCTATTATGATCTTAAACTATTTCCTAGGGAAATTCAACAGTTATACACAAATATGTGCACATAGAAATCCCAAGCAAATCATACTTGAGATCTTTCCATAACATTCATTTTATTTTGCACAGCTTATCCCGGGAGATACCTTTAAAGGAAATACTATTATGTCTTTCTCCCAAGTACTATCACAGTTGAATACTGAAGCAGAGATAAGAGTAGCCTCTCTGGTGACACCCAACATATTAAAAGTACAGCTGACTCACAGTTTATGTTTTACAATGGTATGTCACATTAGTCCACTGACTGTTCATTTTCTGGTTGCACATACCTGACAAACTGACTGAAAGCCTTGTAATTGGTAAGAGTTCGATAATCCTCCTCTGTGAAAATATGATCGATATCCTCCATGCCCCAGTCCTCTAAAAGCTGGGCAGAAGACTTTGGCTCCTAGGACAAAAAAAAAAAAAAAAAAAAACTTAGTGAGGTACAGTCACAATTTGTAGACTTTATGGAGCAAAAAAAATCTACTAGATTCAGAGAAAAAGTTTGCAGAGGACACTTCAAAAGGAAGAGAAAAATGCCAATTCTGAAGAAACAGGACTACTCATTTTTTAAGCCCTGAGAAGGAAAACTTCACTTTGATTTGAAAGGCAATTTTGTTTTGTCCATCCCACTCTACCTCCAGATAAATCAAGAATGAAGAGGAATGGAGTGTGTAGAAACAGCACTGGAAGAAATTTAGTGGGCCATTTCAAGTATCCCCCTCTTTCACCTTGGAATCATCGTCCTCATCTTCTTCCTCTTCTTCTTCTTTACGCTTGGCTTTGCTCTTCTTCTCCTTCTTAGGCCCAATTTTTTTCTTCTTCTTCTTGCCAGGTGTATAGTCACTTCCCTCACTGTCTGAGCGCAACAGCACCTCCTCTTCCTCCTCCACAAACTCATTTCCCTCGCCAGAGCTGTCTCCAAGCTGGTGCGGTGGGAGATAGAAGAATACAGGTATACAGTTATTTCCAAAAGGACACCAAACTCTAATATAATCAGCAGGTAGAGCCACCTGTATAGTGAGCAGCATTATCTCCCAAATATCTATAAGTCCTGCTCTATCCCTTACCTCTTTTTTCTGGCGCTTACTGAGTTTGGGTACTTTAGGTTCCTTCGCTTTTTTCGGCTTCTTCTTCTTCTTGATTTTTGGTATCTCTGCTTCCGATAACAGCTCTTCCTCTGGCTCTTCTTCTGGCTCTAAAGAAAGTTAGAAAGCAACAGAGAAAGACAACTCCGTTTTAAAAGCTTTAGACTAGAACGGTTGCTACTCTTTCACTTTTATGTTTAATCACATTATCACAGAATGGCATAAGCAATATCTTTCAATTTACATATATAACCTCTTTCTTAATTTATTTTACTTGCATTCCCACCACCATGTATATATGATAATGCAATTGTGTATTCTATAAGTAATATTCTCATGCATAGTTTTATATAGCCTTCTGCTAATGAATTTAAAGAATTATGTAGTAGATTACTAGTCTAACAATAGCATTACATGATTAAGATAGCAGGACAGGTATCAGATCCCCGCCCCCCTTAAAAACAGACACGGGAAGCTGGAGAGGGGGAAAAGGGGTTTTCTAAATTTACATCTTCTGCCAACCTAGCAGTTCGAAAACATGCAAATGTGAGTAGATCAATAGGTACCGCTCCGGCGGGAAGGTAACGGCGCTCCATGCAATCATGCCGGCCACATGACCTTGGAGGTGTCTACGGACAACGCTGGCTCTTCGGCTTAGAAATGGAGATGAGCACCACACCCCAGAGTCAGACATGACTGGACTTAATGTCAGGGGACTACCTTTACCTTAAATTTACATCGCCAAGCAAGGAAATATACTGACCAAGGCCCCTTCCACACAGCTGTATAAAATCCCACATTATCTGCTTTGTACTGGAATATATGGCAGTGTAGACTCAGATAACCCAGTTCAAAGCAGATATTATAGGATGTTCTCTCTTGATATTCTGGGTTATATGGCTGTGTGGAAGGCTCCCAAAATACAACTGTAAAATAATCAAGGCACTTCACAACCACCCTAGAGTTTCCAACCAACTCTATAAGGCAACAACTTGGATGGACTCTCTTTCCTCGTGCTTAGACTGTTGCTACTCAGAGCCTTAATTTCGATCACCAGGTGCCTAGTCAGGTGCCAGCGCCTTCTAACTCGTAACTGCCTCTTCGGTATGCAAATGCAAGCCTTAACTCATTCCATCCCCCATCAATTCCAGAGGCAGACGCGCCTGCATGCGCACACACACAAATGCACGCGTGTACACACACACACTTAACACATCCCTCCTTACTCTGACAGACCACATTCCCATCTGTTCTTCCAATCCTCCACCCCCTAAAAGCCCAGAGGGGCACAGCCAGCCGGCAGCTTCCTTTGTGACAAGATCCACAGCAACCCAGCCATTGTCCCTCCCCCCTCCCCTGCATCCACCACCCCCGCCCATTACACAGAGCCAGAGTCGCTAGCTCGCTTGCTCGCTCTCCCTCCAAGGGAAAATGGCCTCCTAACCACAGGCGCTGGGCAGGATGAGGGAAGCCACAGGTCACAGCAGTTGCTACAATTGAAGGACAAGGATCAGGGGAGAAACGTTGCTGTGGCAGCGGGGGAGTCCTGCTTTCCCAAATTCCTCTAGCACAACTCCCCCACACTCCCCAGTCCTTACACATTTCAAGGAAACATAAAACTCAGCTCCACAAAGCCTGAACTCAAGGATGACCCTCTGCACACTTTGTTTAGGCTTTCTATGGTCCCTTCCACCTGAATAAAATCCCACATTATCTGCTTTGAACTGGGATATATGGCAGTGTGGACTCAGATAGCCCAAATCAAATCAGATATTGTGGGATTTTCTACCTTGATATTCTTGGTTATAGGGGTGTGTGGAAGGGCCTTAACATCCACAAAAGATACTCCAAAGGAAATAATCTCTTTCTTTGGATTAGGACCGCAAAAAATAAAACCCGTCGGGAGGGGGGGGGGGAAGAGTGTGAAGTCCCTACTGGATGTCAGAAAAACACACAGATGATATTCTTGATGTAACAAGGTGAGCAGTTCCCAGTGGTCCAGTGGCATCAGAGATCCCCACTCTATTCTCCAACCAATACTGCCAAATCATTTGGTGACCCCTTCATGGAACAAATGATGCCAAGAGAACTTGTACTTCAAAGCAACTAAATCAAAAGATATGTCAAAATTAATTATGTTCCGTTCCACATTGTACGGTGCAGGCCAACTCAATCCCAAGGTGAGTAGCAATAAAATGAACTACACTGGGTGTGCTGGGGAAGAAAAATGGGTCATGTAATAGCTTAAAGCACCTATCATTTTGGTCACAGACACATTTGAGTTCTCAAGTGGACAAAAGACACTTGAGAACCCCACTTGCCTAGTTTCCAACAAACCTCACAACCTCTGAGGATGCCTGCCATAGATGGGAGCAAAACATCAGGACAGAATGCTTCTGGAACATGGCCATACAACCCAGAAAACTCACAGCAACCCAGTGATTCTGGCCATGAAAACCTTCAACAATACAAAAGACACTTGCATCCCATACATCCATCAAAACTCCCTACAACCTTCAGTCACACTCTTCCCCCTTGTCTCAGTCTACTTACAAAATTTCCCCTTCCCACAACGGCCCCAAGAAATCAACACCACCACATATTCAGCAAAAGGAAGGCAGGAAGTAGTAACATACATTTTATAATAAACAGGCCGGCGCCTACTAAGCAGAAAATTCCCTCGTGAAATTATTTTGCATCCACTGTGTTATAGTCTTGAAAAAAGAGTTCTAGAATGACAAGCTAAATAGTCAAAGTGAGCGAGAAAGATCCACAGTTGAAGAAGCAGACAAGCAGGTTAGACATCCAGCGTGTTAGCAGCCAGGATGGTTAGTCCTTTATCTGAAAGTTTTGAACAATTTTCACTCCCCATCCAACGCAAGCTCATAACTTCCAAGTCCTTCCACTGCAACTAGAATGACACAGCAGAGTGACCAGAAGCACTGAAGATTCAATTGAGGACAATTTGCTGCCTCCTAGTTAAACCCATTAAGGGAGGACATGGATTAAACTCAGCGTCTCAAGCCCCCAGTTGGGGGGGGGGCGGTCATGTTGCCTTCTTTGATTGAAAAAGACAACAGAAAAAACCTTTTATTCATTGTTCCTAAAAGAAGCACTCCAAAACAAAGCATTCAATGATATCGTGGGAATCCATCTGTTTACCTTGATGTTGGTGGATGCTGTTGTTCAACAGGATTTCCATCTCCTCGTCGCTGCCGGCGGAGCAGGGCGATGGGGACCCCATGCCCGATGCCATGCCCCCAGATTTGGGGGATAATTCAGGGGGCTCAAGAAGTCCCTGCTATCTTGGCACCTCCTTGCGACAAATGCCAGGAGAGCGCTCTGCAAAAAGAGAAGAATAAAGTCATAACAGGGCCCTTCCACACAGGTGTATACAACCCACAGAGAACTGGATTATATGGCAGTGCGGATTGAAATAACCCAGTTCAAAGCCTTGATATTGTGGGTTATATGGTTGTGTGGAAGCGCCCAAAGTGTTGCAAACAACCAAAGGAATTCGGCTCTTCACAAGGCATATACGAGTTACAAACATCCAACTTAGAAACGACTCAAGAACAGGGGTGAGACAACAAGAAGTGAGAGAAATATATCCTTCGGAAGGCAAAGTTATTGGGGGGATAGCTTTGGGCCCTTCCATATAGCCATATAACCCAGAATATCAAGGCAGAAAATCCAACATCTGCTTTGAACTGGGTTATCTGAATCCACACTGCAATATATCCCAGTCCAAAGCAGAAAATGGGATTTTTATTCAGCTGTGTGGAAGGGACTTCCACGCCAATCTGGCTTCAACAACAAACCAATGGAAAGTGAGGTGAAATCTACCAAAGAGAGCAAAACAAACAAACACTGTAGGGGTGTTAACCTTTCCCTATGCTATCCAAATAATTCATATATATTGGGCTGGAGTTACACTTTAAAGCAGGCATGGACAAACTTTGGCCCTCCGGGTGTTTTGGACTTCAACTCCCACAATTCCTAACAGCCTACCGGCCCGTGCCTACTTTAAAATGAAATTATGCACAAATTCAACTTAAGAACAAACTTACAGAATCTATATTGTTCCTAACTTGGGGACTGGCCTGCAATGAGGCAAGTGAAGGTCCTTATGAGATAGGGGGAGGAGGCAATGCCAGCTTTACTCCTTATCACACTGAGCTACATTCTCTGGCGGGAATGTGGGGCTTCATTTCTGTAGACAAGTCAAAACAGAAGGCAAAAAAAACCCCACACCCCCCCCCTTCCTTTTCATGCACTGACTGCGCCTCTTGAGGAGGGACTGAGAGGAGGAGGAGAAAGAGGAGGAGGGGGGGGCTCCTTTGCGCCAGGGCAAAGGGCCAAGGATCTCATCTCTCATCTTCCCCCATTTTTTGTCATGACACTGGGCCCTTCCACACAGCAATATAGCCCAAAATATCAAGGCAGAAAATCCCACAATCTCTGATTTGAACCGAGTTATCCGAGTCCACACTGCCATAGTTGAAAGCAGATAATGTAGGATTTTATTTTTATTCAGCTGTGTGGAAGGGGCCTGGGGGTCCTTCCACATAGCCCTATATTCCAGAATATCAAAGCAGAAAATCCCACTTTATCTGAGTGTGGACTCAAATAACCCAGTTCAAAGCAGATATTGTGGGATTTTCTGCCTTGAAATTCTGGGATGTAGGGCTGTGTGGAAGGGTCCTAAGAATGTCAAACCTACAGAAGGAATATTTTGTTGTTGTTCCAACACAACAACAATAACAAGGGGGGGGGCAATCAAAAGGAGGAAAATAAACTTGCAATGGGGGATGGTGGAAAGAAGAACGAGCCCCAAAGATAATTCTCTTCTTTTGGGGGGGGGTGTCTTTTAGGGTCCTTCCACACAGCCTTGTATCCCACATTATCTAGCAGTGTGAACTCAAGATAACCCAGTTCAAAGCAAGTGTTGTGGGATGTTCTGCCTTGATATTCTGGGATATAGGGCTGTATGGAAGGGTCCTAAGAATGTCAAACTCATGTCTTAAGGACGACAGGAGGAATATCTTGTTGTTGTTCCAACTCAACAACAACAAATGGGGGGGCAATCAAAGGGAGGAGAATAAACTTGCAATGGGGGGGGGGGGATGGATGGAAGGAAAAGAAGAACGAGGTGGGCCCCAAAGATAATTCTCTTCTTTTTTGGGGGGGAGGGGGGTTCTTTTAGGGTCCTTCCACACAGCCCTATATCCCAGAATATCAAGGCACATTACCTGGCAGTGTGGACTCAAGATAACCCAATTCAAAGCAGATATTATGGGCTATTCTACCTTGATATTCTGGGATATAGGGCAGTGTGGAAGGGCCCTTAAGTCCAATTTGGGACTCCCATTTGGAGGAGGAATAAAAGGGAAGCCTTTGAAGCCTGGCACGTGGGCCTGGCTTCTTGAGGGCCTTTTTGACCTCCAAGGGGAAGGCCTCACTCTCCTTAAATTCTCCTCCAGTTCTCCCTTTCCCTTCTCCCCACACCCCCCACTCAAAATAAATAAATAAATAAATAGGCAAGTGCCTCAGAAAGAAGAGGGTCTCCCTTTCCTCCTCCTCCTCCTCCCCAAAGGCAAAGGCCTACCCCGCTCTTTCTTCCTTCCTTCCTTCCTTCCTTTCTCTTCCTTCCTTCCTTCCTTCCCCTCCCGCCCTCACCCGACTTCAGGGCGCCCCGGCTTCTTGATTTTCTCGACGCCGCTGAAGGGAAAATGGCTCCGGCTCCAGCGCCGCCTCTTAAAGGAGGGGAAGGGAAAAAGGAGAAGAAAAAGGCCACAGCCAAGCCCCGCCCCCCTCCCGCCTCCATCCCATAATACGCCCGCTGCCCTGGCGACGGGTCCCACCTCCGTCACCTCAGCACAACCCCCCCTCCCTCCTTTCCTGGGGAGGCATCCCATAATACTCACCCCACACACCCCCTCCCTCTCTTTTCCCCTCCGCACAAAACTCCTCGGCATCCCATAATAAGTCTCTCTCCCTTCCTCATTCCCAACCTCCCCCCTTCTCCCTCAAACATCCCATAATAATAATAACCCTCGCAAGGGGGGGGGGAAAGGAAGGTCCAGTAAGGCAGCCCCCCCTCCCCCTCCTCCCTGCGGAAACATCCCATAATACTCTCTCTCCCTTTCTCGCGCGCTCGCTTCTTACTCATACATACCACACTGGCCGGCTGCCCGCCCTCTCCTCCTCTTCCCCCTCCCTTTTCCATCCCATAATAATCACATTCTCTCCCTCCTCCCCCTCCCCCCTCGCCCTGCCCTCAACATCCCATAATAGTCACTCCCTGTCCCTACCCTGAATCCCATTCCCCTCTGTAATCTCTCTCTCCCCCTCCTTCCCTTCCACTGACTTGACTGACAGATAGACAGACAGACTGATAGACAGGCACATCCATCCCATAATAAGCATGCCCTCGTTGTTGCCATCCCAGACCAGGCCCTCCCTTCCTGGAAAATGCCATGCCAAGCCTCCCCCCCACCATAGTTTTCCCCTGACATCCCATAATACTCATTTCTACCCCCCTCCCTCCCTAGAAAATGCCCCCACCATAGTTTCTTCTGACATCCCATAATACTTCTCATTTCTCCCCCCCCCCACTTTTTCCCCCCTCAGGCAGACATCCCATAATAGCCCCGTCTCCCCCTCACCTCCATCCACTGGGCATCCCAGAGAAGGCCCTCCCTCCCCGGAAAATGCCATGCCAAGGGCCCCCCACCATACTTTCCCCCAGACATCCCATAATATTCCTCATTCTCTGACTCCCCCCCCCCTTTCCCTCAGGCAGGCATCCCACAATTCTCCCCCCCCCCTTCCATCCACTGGGCATCCCAGAGCAAGCCCTCCCTCCCTGGAAAATGCCCCCACCATAGTTTCCCCAGACATCCCATAATACTCCTCATCCCCCTCCCCTTCCTTAGGTAGGCATCCCATAATAACACTGTATCCCCCTCCCTTCCGTCCACTGGGCATCCCAGAGCAAGTCCTCCCTCCCTGGAAAATGCCCCCACCATAGTTTCCCCAGACATCCCATAATACTCCTCAGCCCCACCCTTTCCTCAGGCAGGTATCCCATAATAGCATTGTCTTCTCCCCCCCCCCCCCTTCCATCCACTGGGCATCTCAGAACAAGCCCCCACCATAGTTTCCCCTGACATCCCATAATACTCCTTATTCATCCCTCCCTCCTTTTCTCAAGCAGGCATCCCATAATAGCCCCATTCCCCCCCTCCCCTTCCCTCCACTGAGACATCCCATAATGCTACCAGCAACTCTTAGCCACAGCCTACAAGGCTGGCACTGACTGCATTTCAATCTCCCCCCCCCCCCTCCAACAAATAAACAAAACACTTTTCACACTGCCAGACCATAATAATCCCTGACACACTGCTCTCCTTGCCTTGGTCCAGCCAAGCCAGGGCTGAGCTGCTCCTACCACCTTAGGGCCCTTCCAGACAGGCCTTTCCACACAGAATATCAACATTCCCACTCAGAATTTATATCCCAGAATATCAAGGCAGAAAATCCCACATTATCTGCTTTGAACTGGAATATATGGCAGTGTGGATTCAGATAACCCAGTTCAAAGCAGATATTGTGGGATTTTCTGCCTTGATATTCTGGTATTTTGGGTTGTATGGAAGGGCCTGAAGACATGCCTTATATACCAGGGTTTTGTGTGACTGTGGAGCAGAACAGACAACTCTGCATCTGCATGCTTGTCCACTCTGCCCTGCATCATGTACAGAGGAGGAATTGTTGGAGGCCACAGACAATGCTGTTGCTGTTGCCCGTTTTTGGTCAAAAGATATTTAGCCGCCTGCATGCCTTCTATTTTTATCAGTTTTATACTAATTTATGCAATGGTTTTGATACAAAATAAATAAATAAATTCCAGACTTCCTGCTTTAAACTGGATTATGTGTCTCTGCACAGCCAGATAATCTGGGATAAACAGAAAACCTGGGGTCAGATCCTGGGATATAGAGTCTGTCTGGAAGTGTCCTCGGAGAACAACCCCCACCCTGTTCCCCATAGAGAGCACTGGGTAGCCAAAAGGGTCAGCCCTCAACCCAACAAGCCAAGCACAATGGCCTCTGGGGGCACAGGGCCAAGGGCACATCCCATAATGCTCTCCCAGGCCTCTTCCACACAGCTGAATAAAATCCCACATTTCTGGCTTTGCATTAGAATATATGGCAGTGTGAGCTCAGAAAACCCAGGGCCCTTCCACACAGTCCTATATCCCAGAATATCGAGGCAGAACATCCCATAATATCTGATTCGAACTGGGTTATCTGTGGGATTTTCTGCTTTGATATTCTGGGATATAGGGCTGTGTGGAAGGGTCCCAAGTTCAAAGCAGTTATTGTAGGATTTTCTGCCTTGATATTCTGGGTTATATGGCTGTGCAGACATTTCCCAGTCCATGTTCATTCTATATCTCTTGCCAAAGCCTGCCAGGACTCTCCATGCTTTCTTTCGCAGGATCCCATCATCTTTCATACTCTCCAAGACAAGAAATTAGAGCTCACTAGGCCTCCAAAGGCAGAGCACTGTCTTCCATGTTTCCAGGCAAAAACGACAGATTGGGAGGAATCAGGCATCAATGTCTTATTAAAGCAAACTATACTAGCCTGGATTTCTGGGGTAGCCATCACATAAACATCAAATGAATACTGGGCCCACTGTTTTTGTTTTGCTAAGCACCTGAAAATGTGTTCCAGATTTAAGACAAAAGTTCATTAAACTGGCCTCAAAGGTTAGACCTGTTTCTGGGTATATTTAACCCTGCTGGTTCCAAAAGTAGCATCAGTTTTCCCCTGTTGGTTCTGCTTTTTGAGATACAGAGCATATGCCATCTACCAGTTGTTCATCATTAGAAAGTCATAACCATATCCAATAATAATAATAATAATAACTTTATATAAAGTTATTATTATTATTATTATTATTATTATTATTATTATTATTATTATTATAGAGGTTTATATACCTCTATTATTATTATAGAGATAGAGTTTTATATACCGCTCTATCTCCCCGGGGGGGGGGGGGGGGGGGGGGGGGCTCAGAGCAGTTTCCAAGTAACATCATCAATACATACAGAGTAAACAACATAACCATAAGATTAACAAAACAATATCAGCATAAAATTGTTGCCATAACACACATATATTAAAAAGGTATTGATATATATATATATCAATATCCGAGAAAGTAGAGCTGATGAGGTCTATCCAATGCAATTTTCTAAATTCTGAATAACTCCAGACACAGGCCTAAAAACCAAAGGCCCTTCCACACAGCTCTATATTCCAGAATATAAAGGCAGAAAATCTCACAATATCTGCTTTGAACTGGCTATCTGAGTCCACACTCGGATATTGTGGGATTTCCTACCTTGATATTCTGGGATATAGGGCTGTGTGGAAGGGCCCATAGACACACCATTCCAGACCATGATGGGTTCTCATTAAAACACCAAACGTTTTGCTGTTGTGGTTTGCTTCCTCCAAGTTGATTTGCCTTATGGCGACCCCATGAATGAGAGACCTCCAAGTTGCCCTATCAATCGTCAGCCACCTTTCTCAGGTCACTTGATAAGAGTCTCTGTATCTAGAATGCGGCCTTCCTCTTTTCCTTCTGCCTTACCAAGCATTAATGTATTTTCAGTCACATCTTCTCATGATGTGGTCAAAGGACATCAGTCTCTGTTTGGTCATCTTGGCTTCTAGGAGAGTTCATGCCTGTTGTCATTTCAGGTGCTGAGCAGTGATCAGTGCCAGTTTTGTGCCCCATGGGCACTACAAAGGCCAGAACAATAGGGGAAAGCAAGGGATGTGGTCAAGCAGCATATTACCAGTTCTGGTGTCACCTGGCTTTGTGGCCACCATCCAACCACCAGGCCAGCCTGGAGCTAAGTACTGTGGTTGCCATCCAGTTCCCAAACTGACTTGGAAGCATGCAGTTTGGCTTCTGGATACTCCATAGGGTTCTCCGGATCAGCATCACCATTTCTGGCCAATGTAGATGCATCCTTGGATTTCTGATGTTTCTTCTTCCAATCTTCATGCCTTCTTCCTCCAAATCTAATACTGATTTGCATATTATATTGTTAGCATATCTTTATTGTGTGATAAAATGCAGTCTTGCCTGACCCCCTTGCCAATTGGAAACCATTCTGTTTCTCTGTATTCTGTCCTAACAGTAGTCTCTTGTTCTGTGTACAGGTTACGCATCAGATCAATAAAATCTCCCCTCAATTTATACATGCCGTCAATGTATACACAAGTATATACGGTGCTCAAAGGACATAGGAATCAATACAAGTAACATGTTACCATTTTAAAAGCAGATATAGGGGAGGGAAAACAGTATTTCCATGTATCTTGGCAGGCCTATGTAACAAATGTAACTCTATAGATTAACAACTTCTATACAGTTATGGCCACAATGTTGAGATTGGTTACGATTTCATTCCAATACAATTCAGACATGCATATTTATATTCCAGACTATGACTGGAATATCAGTATGTAAAAGGGATTTTGCAGCACGTTTGAGACTGAGAGACAGCAGTTGGTAGCATAAGCTTGCATATCTTGTATTAATGCTACTTCACCAGATGCAAGAACTAAATATAAGTTTATGAAAGCTTATGCTACCAATTTCTTTCTCGCAGGGCCTGTCCAAACAGTACCTTTATCCCAGGAGCTTCTACAGCAAACAGGAGGGTGACCAGACGCTATTCCCTGTAATCGCGGACGCAA